TATAAATGTCAACACGAGATGTGTTTTGACGTTACAATCGTTTCCTTTCACATGCAAATTATTTAGAAAATGCCAAATTGCACTCTATTTACGAATAAATATGTATTATAATCTGTCTATCAACACAGCGAATCGGGTTTGTAGTAGTGCTAATACGACGTAACTGCTTGTATGTGTGCTCCTGGCGACGCCTATCCTCGTACAAAATACGGTTGACAGCCATTCTATTGTGTATTATAGTATTCTATGGTGCGAACGCCACCATCAATAAAACATGTTATGTGATTTATTTTATGCGATTTGTTTCAAAACGTTACGTGTTGAATGTTTCTCAGTGCAAACGTACTGTTACAAGGATAATTTAACCGTACGTTTTTGTATTGATGTACCAATCATATTTCTGAGTGACGCACCAAAAATGACATGCAATAATAACTTTGCCTGACATATTTTAATACATATTAGTTTTTATTTCTAATAATTTGAAAATATATCATCAGAAGATAAATGAAAAAAAATATTTCGGTTTAATTTTTTGATAGGGGTTGGCAACACTGGTGTTGGGCCACCATTTTGTAATGCTAAAAAAGTTCTCTGTCGTAGACAGAGAATCCTATAGCATTCTCTGTCTACGGTTCTCTGTATGGAGCACAAAGTACCTTTGTATAAACTGGTATGAAGTGTAGAAGTAAGGAGTACCAATTCCCATAGTAGAATAGTTGAAAAAGTGTCCATCTGTAAGCAGTAAATAACAGTCCAAAAACTCTCCACAACAGCGCTGTAGTAACTACTGGGATGAAATGAACTTAGCAGTTGTCGACGGTTTGAAGTGTGCTGCTAAACTGCTCAGTAGTTCTAAAATCTAAAATAATTTTATTTAGTAAATATAAACTCGAAAAAATCGTCTATCCCACTAATATTTTTAAAATTTAGCCTGTAGCTATAGTGTCACCACCCTTATTTAACGGTTTTCTATGGACACTTTTTAATACACAGTCTGTACTTCTTCCTTCTACACTCCATAGTTCTCTGGTTCTCATCAGTCGTCTATTGTCGTCTCGTGTGCATAGTCTACGATCTTCAGTACTTTTCGCGTAGACAGAGAAACCAATAGACTAGTGATTAGCGTGGCCTCGAGTGAGAATGGACGATAACGTAGTTTTAGGTTATACAATAATCTTTATGACTTTTAAACACATTTAGTAAAAAAATTTAATTGTTCTAAGAACTGAACAAGATTCACAAATCTTAAGCTCACAAAACACTTTTTTCTCACTTAAGCTAACTTGTAAACTCCTTAGATCGCTACGAACTGTCAAAGTTGTTTAGCAAAGTGTAGTTTGCTAAACAAAAAAACCGGCACTGAGAAAGGGACAAACAATCACACCGCTCTGTCTCATTTCTATGCAAGAAGTATGCATAAATCTATCTTTATCGTGCGCGAATGTGAAAGAAGGAGTCAATTTGTCTATAAGTTTTTCTGTCTACGACTTTTCGATTTGTTTTTTTTTTTGTGACCCAGCTTTCGTTTTTTTGACTGTTCCTGCTATTTTTATTGACATCGGCGCTAAATTGGACTTTGATTTTGTTTTGTGTTGTTGACCTGGTTTTTGTTCTATATGTACAAGTACGCTGGACTGTCTATACACCCTGACTTGATAAGGCAATTTGATTTGCGCCATTTTGGCGCTGAAAGCAGAAGTGCACGTCCACGGAACTAATAATAGGGATAAGACAGTGTGACAAAATATATCGATAAAAATTCTATAGCCTACCTATACCTAAATAAATATAATGAACTCTATGGATAGATGGACCCTACCCGTAACGTCTACTTTATTTATGTATTATATTATTATAATTCCACTATCATTCATCATCATTAAAGCCCTTCACAAGTCCACTGCTGAACATACGCCTCCCCCAAGGAATGCCACAAAGCACGGTCCTGAGCCACCTGCATCCATGCCATATCCATACTTCACATGCCGGTAGGAGGCTGCCACTCGAGAATCTTTTTTCCCCTTCGGTTATCGGTTCTTCGAGACTAGGATAAAAAACATCGAAAAAATCAATATATCGTACATCAATAAGCTTTGATGTTTTTAGTGAGTGATGTTGCATCCTATAGATGTGCTTACTTGGAAAAATTACGACTCGAGTTAACTCAAGTTCAAATTCATGCAACTCGAACTAAAGTCGAGTTACGCAACTAGAGTTAGCAGGACGAAACACAGTAAATGATTTGTTACAATTACTTTAAAAATATCGATTCAATAAATATATATACATTTTTCACTTGTCCATCCCTATGACTGATTAAGGGCGTAAAATTAAAGTAGTGTAATAACTGCCGTCCCTAGGGGCCACGCCCACCCTCATTCAGGGTGGTGTATAAGGGCATAACTTAAACCTTGAAATATCCAATCACAGTGCATTTAACACGTCCTCCGCAGCTCTTGCATGCCGCCAAATTTGGTGAAATCCAAACAGAACAAGACAGCGGGGTTAACACGATAACTTTTTAAAATATAAATTATTCAACTCAATCTATTTTTTTATCTCTTCATCTATCATATGGGAAGCGATGGAATGTAAATGGCTGTTTAATTTGTTTTTGTTTAGTTATGTTTTTTTTTTCGGCTGAGAAATTCCGAAATTTTGGGTGTTCCAGCGGCCTAGAAAATATTTTACTAATAATAAGCATGTGCCGGCAATATGGTCAGTACTAGATAATGCAGTACAATAACATGTCGCGTATGGCAGGGGTGCGAGGGGCAGGGTCCAGCGCTAATCCCGAACGTTTTACGGTAACAAGTTTCAACATATATTAATTAGATACCGAGGTGATATGGCCGAATAATGATCGGCCGAAGTATTCGCTTCGGTAAAAGTTTTACCAAACTTTCGGGCCAATATTTGTATTCGGTAAAATCTTTGTTCAGCCCATCTCTACTTGCTTTCGCTATGTGGAACACAACAAGTATTCTTCATGATGAAAAATAAAATCCTCCATGTACCGGATAACCTATTCGCTTCGATCGTGTGATTCACATTGGGCGCGTTCCGTACGGAATTTATGAATATGTGTTGCGACTCATACAAAATCTATGGAAAACTTGCGTTCAGAGCGGCTTTTTTCCTTGCGTGATTCCAAACGCATAGGCGGTCATACAGAATCTCGAATCGGAGATATTCCTTACGGAAAATTACCGTAAGTGTGTGGAGCGTAGACAGAGAAACCTATAGACAAATTGACGCCTTCTTTCGCATTCGCACACGAAAAAGATAGATGGATGTTTGTACCATTCTCCGTGCCGGTTTTTTTGACAGTTCGTAGCGATCTATGGAGTTTACAAGTTGGTTTAAGTGAGAAAAAAGTGTTTTGTAACCTTAAGATTAGTGAATGTTGTTCCGTTCAGTTCTTATAACAATTAAAAATTTTGTCTAAATATGTTTAAAAATCATACATATTATTTTATAACCTAAAACTACGTTATCGTCCTTTCTCACTCGAGGTCACGCTAATTATTAGTCTATAGGTTTCTCTGTCTACGGTGTGAAGGGTTCTTTAATTTATATGAACTTGCTGCGTTCGAAATTCCTAATCGTTGCTCCGAAACGGAATTCCGTATGTGTCTGTTCGGCCCTAATTTAAAAAATACATTCTTCGACTATGGTCTACTCGATGGTTTTACTCTATTTCGTAGACAGAGAATCCCTATTCCCTCTATTCATTTCAATTAGGGATGACATTACAGAAACATCGATGATGACATCGATGTTGATATCGATAGCTTAACATCGATGTTCGATGTTTATCCTACTCAAAACATCGATGTTGGCCATTATCGTTGTTATAGCACATGTACCTATTTAGTAGGTTAAAATTAGATGTACAAAAAATTTGTAGTGTTGTTTATGGTTTATTATTTATGAAATTAAAGAAATGAATAACACATTCAGTGTGAAACAGTAATTTAAAAAATGGGAAAAACTTAACAAATATTTAGTTAATTTGTTATATTTTTTTGCCAATAATGATGAATATTATTATTTTGATAATTAAATGTTCCTATACAATTACAAATCTATGGTATTAAATATTTACTATCCTAATTTACGATTTAGACATAAATTTTTTATTAACTACTCCGATCGCGAAATAAAAAATGATTATAGAGGAAAAATTAACAAACTTCACAAAAACAAAATAATAGACTTTTTAGTCACCTTTGTTCACACAATTTTTAAACAGGCAGCCCAGGCAGTAAGTATCCACAGCCGTTTATAAAATGCACTGCAGAATGCACTTTGCAGTGAAATTGTCTATTATCACGATTGCCCAGTTGCTCAAGCTCAAAAAAACAGCTAAATATAATTAAATTGTGTAGATACATATTGTTTCAAAATTATGTGTGTATAGACAGCAAGGAAAAAAAACAATTAATTTGAATATTAATTTATGTGGAATAGTTATTAGGCGACACCCGATAACGACACCACAATAACAAAGCGAAAATAATTACAACAATGACATTACAGTTCACACTCGACGGGGAGTTTGACACAACATAATGATAGTTTTTATGGATGTTAAAACATCGATGTTTCAATTTCTAACATCGATGATCATCGAACATCCCTAATTTCAATTCATTTCGTAAATCTGCCGCCGCCATTTTGTTTTCACGGAAGAAGACGCAGTGCGGTGAGGTGTACGCCGAAACCTTTATTTTTTCCTGATAAAGTTAGTGTGTACGTGATTTAATTTTAAAAATATGTTTAAAATTTGTACGTGAGGCTTCGCCGTCTAATTGTGTAATTTTTATGTAACTCACCGTGTTATCAGTGATAACGTAAGTTCACTACGTGTTTTATGTCTCGCCATGTTTGCTAAAGCCACGTAACGAGGATTTAGGTTCATTTTTTATTTGCAGTAATGAGCTGTTGAAGATTGCTTGGTATGGTGACAACAACGAACACATTCGTCGTGCAAGATGTCGAAAGAAATTGCCGAAGAATATGCGTCCAGCCTGGCAGACTTGACGGTCAACAGCAAACCCCTAATAAATATGCTTACAATACTCGCAGAAGAGAATATAGAGCATGCTGGGGTTATCGTTGATACCGTGGAAAAACATTTGGAGAAGGTGATTTTACATTTTTAAATTGGCGGGCCTTGCTATGTCACGGCGTGTCGTAAACAAAGTGGGAAATTGTGGTAGATGACACACACTTTGGTGCGTGTTGTATACGTTTACTGTGAGATTAAACTGACCTCCTTTGTAACTACTCCTTGCCAACGAACAGGTAACTCCTAGTATGTTACAATCATTCACAGAATAACTATCATAAGATTTCAAGTTCTCAGTAGATTGTCATTTAAATTAAACAAGTGTAAATTAACAAACCAGTAAATATTTACTTATGTATTAAAATCACTATATGAATACAATCAAAACATCTTAATTTTTGAAACGTTCTGCAAGAAATTGCACAACTTTTAGAAATCTTTCCTTTATATTGATTCTGCTGTGATGATGTATCACATTATAAACATTTAATTCATTACCTATCATGTTTACATTTAAAATCACTAATAACATGTTACATTTCTATTAGGAAAAAATGTGTAAATATTTTGAAAAATAATACCAACTTGAAATAGGAGATACCTGTTCAAGTCACCGAAATAAAAACCACAGCTCTACCTTAATTGGTATGTTATACTTAACGTCATACACTCACTGGTTCCAGTTGTGTACTTGTCGAAATAAAGGTTTTTTAAAACTTGAGTTCTTATTTATTTTCATAAATGGAAAATTAAACGGGTTGCCGAAACAAATTTTGTCTTATTCTTACCCGTACCATTGATACTAGCTTTGGGATATAATACATATAAAACTAGAACAAGGGGTAGACCACTGGAAAAAACCAATATAGACTTGGTGAGCCAAGGGGCTTGGGATGAGAATTTTTTTCCTCCATACAGGTACATCCAGACATCAAGCTGCCTGTTCTCTATTTAGTTGATTCTATTATCAAGAATGTTGGTGGGGCATACACCCAGAAGTTTGCACAAATCATTGTAAATATGTTTACAAGGACCTTTAAGCAGGTAAAACTTTTAATGTTTATTCATTTATCTTCTGCTGTGTTCTATTTCTTTTATTTATTTTTAAATCTGTAACAGGTTGATGAGAAAATCAGATCTCAGATGTTTAAGCTACGGGAGACTTGGCATGATGTGTTTCCAGCAACGAAGCTTTATCAGTTAGATGTGAAAGTGAACCTGATTGACCCAGCATGGCCAATACAAGCACAACCGCAGCAGTCAAACATCCATGTAAATCCAAATTTTCTGAAAAAGGTGTTTTTTAGTTGATTATGCTTTGATGTTTGTTTTGTTACAATCCCTTTTACCTTTGCAGCAATATTAATAAAATAGTTTTTGCTCAAAATTAATAACATACCTAGAAATATATGTATGTTTGTGTTATCTTAGAGTTTGAATTTTTTTGTTTATTGGTATTGGATCTATGACATTTATATATTTCACTTAAAAATTATCTTTTTATACTAAACTTTTAACAGCAATGATACCCCAACCTCCATGGGCTGCTCAAAATCTAGATTCCTCTGTTTTACAAATTATTGTATGAGCAAAGGGATGGTGTTTTAATTTAAAAAAAATGTTCCAGACTGCAGCACCAACAACCAGCACAGCTACACCACTGACTGAAGAAGAAGAAAAAATGCGTAGTATTCTCGCTAAAAAAGAGCAAGAGTTGCTTATGCTTCAGAGAAAGAAAATTGAAATGGAGCTGGAGCAAACAAGGCGACAGCTTGAATTGGCTGAGAAAAATGCTAAAAAGGTAATAAACCTTCTTTTTCTTACTAATAGTTTTTACTGTTACTGTTACAACCTTTTAAAGTCTGCTGCTGAACCTAGGCCTCCCCATAGAATACTATAATACACAATAGAATGACTCTCAACCTTATTATGTACGAGGATAGACGTCGCTGTTGACATCCATCTCCTGATTTGTTTCCCTCTGTCTCCTCTTACGACACACATGGGATGATATAGGGTAGTGGATATACATACACTGCCCCTTCACGGTAATAGTTTTAAGCCGGCACAAAAAAGGAGTATCTTTTGTCCAGTATTTTCAGACATAGCTTCTATGTTTATTAACTGATTTTAATGATTCTTCTACTTTAATTAAATAGGTTATTCTTTAGGGGTGGTCCAATATGAATTTGGAGAAAAAATTACACCTCTAAGGGTAGAACAGTACGGAACAGAATGGGGTTTTTATTTTTTTTACTTGCTATAGTTTTCAATTCAATTCTAACTTTGTCGCCAAGTAAGTTTAAAAATATGGTAGCAGACATATATAAGCTACTACCAAATTTCCTTTTTGTTTATTCTTATGCATTATTAAGAATAAGGATTGTATGATTACAGTAAGATTATATGATAATAGTAAAACACATATTTGTTTGTAGGTGGTTCCGGTGACAAGTGGTGCTCCAGTAATGCCAGTAGCGCTAGTGAGTCCAGTGCCTTCATCTATCGCTTCCACGGTGCCAGCACCTGTACCTTTGGCGCCGCCCGTTTCCATTAAGCAGCGTTTGGGACCGGTGAGTGCAAAATTATTAATTTGTTCATGCATTACAGCCTATTAAAAATCCACTGCTGAACATAGGCCTCGCCCATAGATAACCTTATATGGTTATGGCCACACCAAGTAATGAAACTTTATGATCAGATAAAGAGCAAGAGAGAGTGGATAAAGAGAATAACAGCAGTGATCTAGGCTATATTTTATCCAAAAACTTTTTGTTAAGAATTCGTAAAATTGATTAAAGAAAATTGTCTCTAATGATTATTTTAAATCTAAATAATCCGGGCCTGAATGCTAGTTACTTACTATATTATCTGAAACTTTTATTAAGACTTAACACTTAAGTCTAGGTTACTTTACATATTTATTGCTTTTTTTATTCAATATAGATTATTGTATAATACTTATTGAAAGTCATTTTTAATTTACCACTGGTTCTAAAAAGTTATTTTCACCAACCATTTTATGCAACATGATGCAAAGTCAAGTTAGGTTTTGATTCATACAACTTACATATTTCTGATCTAATTCCTTACCTTCTGAAAATAGGTGATAAGTATAATATATTGTAGTTGTGGGTGATCTGCTTATGCAAATATTACAGCTTCCGCACATTATGGAGTTTATTCGAGACTTCACAATTAGGGAAGTCTTAAATTCATAATGTTGCCGAATTTTTTTTCTAATGTTACCTTCACACTGGGATTTTCTCCTATATCGTGGAGGCAGTTCACATAACTACTTACATTGCACAAGGAAAAACATCCAGACCCAGTAGCCGGAACAATTACTTGAATTCCATACAAATATGTATTAACGGGATTCGAACCCGCGACCCTCAGTGCCGCAATTTATGACTAAGCCACTGCGCCATGGAGCCGTCATTATAAGATATTTACTATTTACATGGTGTGTTATCTCTCTAGTGAGTACAATCAGACTGATGTGTGTATTCAAAGTTTCGGGCACAGGATGACTATCTTACTAACTTCTTAGGACTATTATATAATTATGTGTATATAAATATATACATATATTTTCTTAATATACATGATACATAATTAAATATAGCAGTTTCTGATACAAATAAGTGTTTATCCTTAAGCTTTAAAAAAATGTGAATGTGGTTATTCTTATTTTTAAAAACAAAGAAATAATTCCTTTGAGTGAAAATTGATATCTTCAATATTTAATGTACTTTCCCTCCATCTCCCGTTCATTTTTTCCACCCTGCATATGAAACTATTTGACAGATTTGTCAAATTGTACATTAAATAAATACATAAAAGAATAGTTGAAATAAAATTATCAATAATCATTTGCGTCCCTAACAGTAGGCAAAATAAAAATACAAGATTGTTGCATTAAGCCTTTCCCACACACAAGTGGCTTGCCGTGGCGCGACCAGTTGTATTCTTGAAGCCATATTGTTATAACAATGTAATGAATATAATAGGGTCATTGTATGATACCAACAGTGTGGAATATGATTCAGTTTACAAGAAAATAATAAAATGATGCAGTACAAATGTAGTACACGTTTTAATCTACCTCATTAATCTTTCTTTTGACAATGGTAATTTCCCAGATTATTTAAAGAAATCTATAGTAAAACCACTCCATAAAAAAGATGATGAATGTCATATGTGTAATTATCGCTCGATAACTTTAGTGGTCTATATTTTCTAAAATATTTGAAAAGGCCATGTCCAAGCATATAGTAGAATTCACCTCAAAATTTAATATAATAATAAATGAACAATTTGGATTCCAAAGCAGTAATTCAAATTCCCATGCATGTTTTCATCTTGTGAAAAAATGTTAAATAATCTAGATGACAAAAAACACACTTCAGTAATACTTGTAGATATGAGTAGAGCATTTGACTATGGAGTGTAGAGGTAAGGAGTACAGACTCTGTATAAAAAAGTGTCCGTAGGAAATCGTTAAATAAGGGTGGCGCCACTGTAGCTACAGTCTAAATTTTAAAGAACTTTTTATAATTTTTTATTGCACAGACTTTCACCATAATTCTTTTTACAATAATTATTTTATTGCTTTCAAAATTTTTGTTTTCAAAATCATTCAACATATTTTACGGAGATTTAACATACCCTATAGCTACTCGAGTGCTGTAGTGGAGAGTTTTTGAACTGTTATTTACTGCTTACAGATGGACACTTTTTCATCTATTCTCCTAAGGAGTTGGTACTCCTTCTACCCATATATTCGACTTAGTTACATATTCATTACTCATATGAGACCTAAGTGTTATTATAATGTGAAAATGAGATCACATCTTCATTACAAAACTCAAGATTTTTAATTGTGAAATGATATTCAAATCTTGCAATAATGTTGTTCTTTAAAATGTTGAAAGTTAGGTGCAACAAATAAGGCTATTTTGATTTTTTAACAATAATTTAGGGAGTATTTCTACAGATTCTAGGGAACAACAAAATCATAAATGGAAAAACACTGGTTCTGTGCTAGTTCATGAGCATTTAAGAGGTGGCGCTGATTTATTATATGCTTATACAGCGAAAAATTTTTGTTCGCACGACCATATGTTGTCACACACATTGGTATAATTATATACCAGTGTGTGTAATAAACTTAAGAGCTTTGTGTACGTATTACGAAACCTTTCAAATACGGCATCGCAATCAACAGTTCTAATAGCGTATTAATTACGGATACGTTTATTGTATACTTATTGACCATGTAATAATATGGGGAAATTCTATAGATAGAAATAAAGCTTTCATTGTGCAATAAAATGTCTATGTGCAATATGACATTATTTAGACAGTTAAAAGTTCTAACACTTCTTTACGTATATATTCTTGGAACAGCGAAATTTGTGAAAAATAACCCTCAGCTGTTTATAACTGCTGTATGATGGGTATATCATAAAATATAATTTTGCATGTATAAAAATAATTATTACACGCTATCACAGAATACCAGCGTAATATAGTAGCTTAATGCTGCTGTGTTTCATATGGTGAGTGTAGTGAACCGGAGACCCGTTTTACTGGAAACGAGGCATTCCATCTTAGTACTCACGGGTGACAACGCATCTGCATTTTGATTCGTAATCGAGGATAGATGTAGATGTCTATGAGCCACAGCAATCACTTACTATCAGGTGAACTGTGTGCTCGTTTATGACCCTATCATATAAAAAATACAAGCTTTTTAAAACGAGACTAGGGGAGTTCTTGTCATTTAAAAAATTTTCATAAAAATTGTTACACCAGTGTCTAAGAAAATCTTCATTAAATGAGGCTAACACTTGATCTGGTACTGCAGTTCACGGAAACCTGCAATCAAATCATCTTGTGTAATACTGTCATCATGAGATGTTTCTTTTTGTCTTAGTTGATTTGAATGACCCTCAAATGTAATGGAGCGATGGATCTTACGCCACTATCATATCCATTCATCCATCCATAACAGCCTATAAAAGTCCACTGCTGAACATACGCCTCCCCCATAGATTACTTCATTGGGGGGATTTTGCCATAGTTGCCACACTTGGCAGGTGGGTTGGCAACCGCAATCTTTTATTGGCTGCGTTTGGCAGAAAAAACTGCTAGCAAGCACTTGTAAGCAAAATGGCGATCGTAAGCGGTAAGCGCTGTCAAATCGTAAGTAGCTATTTTCCTCTAGGACACGAAGTTAGTTCTAACCGGGGAATCTAACCTAATTTAAATATATGTTGGTAAATTATTCATATTAAAAACTTACCAATCATGAATTTTTAACATGTTTAATTGTTTATTCATGTCATTATATTACTTAAAACTAATATTGCACAAAACAACTCTACTTCGTAACAAACAAATTAAATAAGCAAAATGGCGGATTGTGTCAGCGCTACTGACGTTAGCAAACGTGTTCTGGCCGAAAACTGTTTAGTTTCGCCATTTTCTTACAAGCGCTTGCTAGCGCTTTTTCCTGCCAACCGCAGCCATTTTTTCGATTTGTAGTCATGAAAATGAAGTGTCCCTTCCAAATTTCCTACATAATCATGCAATCTTATTTAGATATAAAATGATTGCGAAAAAATGAGGTTCTGGGTCTACCTGTTGGTATATGGCCACTGCAGCATATGGATAATGGCACCCAATGGTTGATGAAAGGGCATTCACGACTTTTTCTGCCATCAGGGCGGCGTCACTTACAAATGAGATGTATTATTTGACAGATTTCATAGAAAGCAAGTTAATTTGGTCGAAAAATGTAAAGGTTAATGTTTCTTTCTGTATTATTAGTTATATTTTATATTAATTAGATTAAAAACAAGTGAACCAAACCATAGATATTAATAAAAATAAAATAAAAAATAGTTAAAAATGTGCAAAATAATTAAAGAGGAAACCACTGAAGCATTGTTTTGTTTATTTAAATAGTCTAGAAACTAATAAACTTTATTTAAAAGTTGTCAATTAAATGACATTGTGTAACAAACAACTTCACCTCAATGTAAACTAGGACCAAAACTCCCGTACCCAGGGAGAGACTAACCCATTTGGCCGATCCGACCCCCCAATCCATAACTACCTCTAAATACTCCTCCCGTTTTATAAATCCCAATTTGGTTTTCCTAACCCTAACTATCACTTCAAAAAAATTTCTCACTCTTTCCTCATTCATTCTTTCCACATGAAGAAACGACATCTAATGAGTGCATGATTATTAGCCCTCATTCCAAAAAAATTAGTCTGCATATGTTGTCACTCCTGGAATTACCCGTCAAACTGCAACATATTTATAGGTTCTTAAGTATAGGAGCCGTAGTCCACCTTGCGATGAGAGCTAATAATTTTCCACTTACCAGGTGTTGGGACTGAAGTGAAGTTTTTTGTTACATAATGTTATTTAATTATATCAGTTTCTAGAGTATTATGTTAATACACAAAGTAGTACCTCAGTGGTTCGCTCTTGAATTTTTTGCGCATTTTTAAGACATTTTTTTATTTTTACTGACTTGTTACTTTCTTCTCTCTT